TAGAAAAAACAACTTTATTCCGACTAAACAGCGCGAACGGTATCAAAACATCCGGTTGCTATTGGTTTCAGGGGCGGGGATTCATTTGATTGACAGCCCGCGCACGCAATCCTGGCTTAGCCCCGCCCCCTTCACCTGCTCACTCAGCACAGAGCGAGTCTGATACACAACGCTGCAGTATTGAGATGCACTTTAATTCGACTTCATGTGTTTGTGGACTTTATGGAAGTGAGCTGGGATTAAAGACATAAATGTGCTCTTCTGATGCCGACTCCTGATTGAGAGCTAATTGATGATTTTGACCTGCTGGTGAGTTACTGATGTGTGTTTCAATACTGCTGTTATGATTTTATTAAGCTTTCTGACAAAAAATAAATAAATACATTGGACAGCTGCATTAGGTTTGGGTTTTGCAGGGGATGTTCGATTATAAAACGCATCAGATGCTCTTTAAATGAGAAAACCCCTTAGGCTTGAGAAACTGGCATCACAAGGTGTAATTGTAGTTTGTGATGCACAGGTGTGATGGAGTCACGTGACAGTCATGTGACAGGACAGAAGTACAGTCAGGAATGTGGGTCAGTTCATGATCTGGATTCAGTCCATCAGCCTTTGACAAGTGGAGGAGCCACATTACTGCACGCCTTTGATTTCTCTAGGAATAGTGTCAGGAGCCTCTCTCTTCACAGAAACACATTAATCAATGTTTGCATCCTGATTTTGATTTTCAAGTTTTTTTTTTTTTTTTTGCTGTATGAGAGTTTTTCTTTTGTAGCCATTTAAAAATCGGCATAATGCCAGATGCATTTAGTTTTTAGCCACATGTAACTGCATAAAAACATTTATGCTATTACCTTAGCCTATAAAATATAGGCCTATGTATATTTTGTTAAATATAGGCCTATGTATATTTTGTGAAAATAATACAGAACATGTCATCGTATATTTTGATGTATGTCAGATATATTTTGATGAAACATAAATATAACTCATATTTAATTATAAGTAAATATAACACAGGTCAAAAAAGTCCATTAACGTTGTCCTAAGACAAGAGCGATTTTTGGTTTTAAGTGTTAGGACAACTTTGATAAAAGGTTTTGATCCACTTCAAATGTTGA